AGTATGTGCATGTCAGCATTCGCTTGGAGTTCTGCTGCGCCGGATCAAGGGGAGGGAATAGTGACTCACCCGATTTGATCGCAGCGAAACTAGAAAATAAGAGAAGGTCGACCATGCGTTTTAGTCTGGAATTAGGATTCCATGTCTGTGCCTTTCAACATGGCACGTCTAAAAAGGAAATTCCGTCCAGTTGTTAACCAATGCAGTGTCATCCCCTTCAAACGTGCTTACCGACTCCTCAATCGCGTGAGCTTCATTCCGACTCTACAGGAGCAGGTAGGACAGACTGACGCTCATTAATAATATTCATTCCTCCTCTTCTGGAAGCTATCCATGGGATTATTCTTAATGATCCCTTATTATTTTATAGCAAGCATTGAACAAAGGGCATCGAGTTTCCTGTGTTTTACATGAATCATTTTAAATGTTTGGAATATAGCATGAAAGCCAGGGAGGATTATGATTTTATCTCTTTATTTATATAAAGAAACTCCCAAAGCCTGATTCCCCCGCCGTCCCCAAAGGGAGAAGGATCAATCCCTTACGTTCAAAATGACGCCGAAACGGAAGGCATTTCCACTTTCTAAAGTGGAAATTAAAGTAAAACTGAGGGTGGCATCCATTATTGCTTCACATATTCAGTCACGTTTTGGCGTCTCTGGTGAATTTGCGCCCTGTGCTGGGGCACATGTGGAACATGCGTAAGGCCGGCCCGGTCTCCCAATTCCTAAATGCACAAAAGAAAAGTCGGAAGCCTACGACATCTGTGACAGATTATCAATAAAGTCGTTGATCCCTTGAAACATAGATGTCTCTGTTGCCGGTGCGCGTCCCCAATCCTGATATTACGAGTGGTGCGAGCACGAGCAAATGCAGGGGCTGTGGCAGTCCGTCTGAGGCCATCGCCACCGCCGTCTCTGGGTGTGCTAGGAGGAGGGACATGCACGGATCTCCCTCCATCGGACTCTCTGCCGTCTTTCGAAAACATCGCGTTCTCTTCAATTCCTCCTTCTTGGAATGGAGCAAGGAGAATTCTCGCACTGGTGAGTCGTAGGCTAAGCCCAAGCCAATTGCCGCAATCCAGGTCGTTTGGCGTGCTGCGGTTCGTTCTCCGGGCACGCTCGGTTCATCGAAGCGAATTTCTCAACTGACCTCTTTTCTCACAAGCTCAGCCGGTTTCTCTGTATGCTCTAGAGGACATCGTCCTCGCGCTATAGGTGGACTATGGTGCGGAATTTTTTTTCTTCATTTGGAAAATTTCAAGTGTAAACATTCGGCTTTACTTACCCTCACGTACGTGGTTGCTCTCGGAGGCTTCAGCCTTTGTAGCTGAGCTTTTTTTTCCGACACGTCTGTTGACTTACACTCAGACAGTGACGCAACCAGACTTGAATTGATTTCCTGCTCATGGTGCACACCCACCACAACCGGAGAAGAGATTACTGGGACTTCTAAGGGGAGTGTTGAGTGTCGACTAGACTGGATCCGGAATTGTCTACTGCTGTCATTGGAGGGGAATTCCCTCTCATTTTGCCCTACCAATACATGATGAAAGCAATTGTTTTCATGATCGAATTGCGATTTATTTTGGTTTATTTTCCATATGGTGCCACATTTGATTGTGGATCATTTGATTTTGTACTGTAAAATCCCATCCTGAGCATCAAAACGGATCAGAAAATTGCTCGAAAAAGTGTCGAAGTCTAATAGGAAAATAACCGTTACCCATAATTGTCAACGGTTGAACCTCGTAGACAGATATATCCGTTCTAGCTGCCCCTTGCCGTAGACATTGAGCCTCTAGAGGGTGTTTACTGTCGAAACGAGGAGTTAACTGGTTCTCCTTCGGGTCCCCTTGCCTTGAGCTCCCTTCCCATATTCCCCTTCCTCTCCCTAAGCATCCGGTCAGTCGACATGTCTCCCGCTTGCCCTGGGGGGTTTTCTTTTTCGCCTCCACTCCGTCTTGTGTCGTCGTTCGGTTGGGATGATACCGCATTCCCTTTTCAACTTGACCTTGTACCAACCTTCGATCGATATTCTTACTGGGTCTGTCATCCCAAGATGGCTGCTTGCTGCTCATGTTAGATGATTTGACGATTTAAAAAATAGGGGAAGCATAACTCTTGCGCCCAACCGGAGGGTATTTCTTCGCCTTGACTTCTCACGTGATGTCATGGTCATTGAATCTCGTCTTTACGAGCCGGCGAAACAAGGAGAGGGGAGAGAAAGTATGTGGACGAAGGGGGGGGGGGAGGCCACGTAGGGGCTTTTCAAGGTTGCTGACGAAAGACTAAGCATGGGCCAAGCCCAATACAGGACCTCCCCACTGGAACGTGCGTCATGTTTTGCTTTGATAGGCAAAAGTGTAGGAGCATTATCAGATTTTCCTGCATCCAATCATCCCCCCCACTTTATGACCTACCTCCAATACCACATCTCGTTTCTCGATGAATTCCAGTCACGCTTACTTGGGATATTCGGCATGAATAATCCGGAGAAGTGCGCAATGCATCCTTCTCTACTCCGTCGAGACCATAAATGTAATAGGCCGTCCTTTGCCATATATTGCCTTTTCTTTTTTATCCGACTCGAGCAACGAGCTTTCATGGTCCTCGCGTGACTTAGGACAATAGTCCCTGCAACTCCTTTTTACGTTTACCAATCCAAAGCAGGAATTGGCTTATAGACGGTCTTTCCATTATGACTAGGATCGCAGTAGACTTCACTCCGGTGTGTTGTTTTTCGGTTGTAAAAACGGAAATTTATTTTTCTACACACATGTCCAAGTTAATATCAGCTGTCAACTAAGTATTGCCGTCTACTTGTATGAATTAGAAAATAAAATCTTCATTCCTAAGTAGGAGGCCTGTACAGGTTGCCCGTACGACCGTACTTGGACGTACAGTGGCGTGCCCAAGAAGGGGGGGGGGGGGTTGGGGGGCATAAACCCCCCCCCCCCCCCCCC